GCCCCTTTCCCAGCTCCCTCAGCTGCTCCTGGTGCTCCAGACCCTTCCCCAGCTCTGTTCCCTTCCCTGGATGTGCTCCAGCCCCCAATGTCCTTCTTGGAGTGAGGGGCCCAGAGCTTCCACCCAGGGCTGGAGGTGCTTCAGCAGAGCCAGCACAGGCACTGCCCTGGGCTGTGGCCACACTGGTTTTGCTACAAGCCAGCTGCTGTTGGCCTTTCTGGCCACCTGGAATCTCTCTGTGGTTTGAGAACACTGCATTTAACCTCTCCTCCTCTGCACTAGGAAATTATCTGGATACAGTGCCAAGCTCTGGAAATCCACTTCCTCGGGTTGTCCCAGCCTCTGTCCTGGCTGGATTTACCTTGGTCAGGCCAGGGTTTGATTTTCACACCAGGATATGAAGAGCTTTCCCCGGAGGAGCGTGGGGGTGGCAATGGAATTTGACTGTTTTGCTCCCTGATGGCAGCTTACTTCCCTTTCTGCTTCCTTCCCTCCCTCCCTGCCTGCCTGCCTTGTTGGTCTCCTCTGGAACAGAGGTCTCCAAGCACCTCAGAGGAGGGAACAGCCCAGCCTGGGGCTGTGTCACTGCAAGAGCTCAGCAGGAGGGTGTCCCCTGTCACTGAGCACTGCCCTGAGCCTGGGACAGCAATGACACCAAGTGGTGGCATTGGATTTTCACTGACTTGAGCCAGCTCTGCTCTGAGCCAGTCCCACAGCCAAAGACACAAATGTCACTTGTGAAGGTTGTCACTGTGAATTTTCTAAAAAAATCCCTACACCAGGATTTTTCTCCTGAAAAGCTGAGAAGCCTCAGAAAAGAAATGTAAACAATAATTCTCTGTTTGCTTGGAATGTGCTCTGGAGGTTGCTCACCAACAGGTGCATCTTGGATTGGTTCAATGTGAATTGTTTTTACTTTGTGACCAATCACAGTCCAGCTGTGTCGGACTCTCTAGTCAGTCACAAGATTTTATTATTCATTCCTTTCTAGCTTTCTGATGTCTCCTTTCTCTTTCTTTGATATAGTTTTAATATATAATTTTCTTTTAATATATATATATAATAAAATATTTCAAAATATAAATCAACCTTCTAAAACATGGAGTCAGATTCCTCATCTCTCCCCTCATTGTGGGGACCCTCAGCCAGCACCACAGAAGGTGATTCTGTCTGTTTATCTCCCTTCATGTTCTTTTCCCAGCCCTGGGGCCATGCCACAGCCTCAGGTTGTGGGGGAAGCCCAGGAATAGCAAATGTCAGAGAGCCCATGAGCTGGGATGAGTTTCCTGGGGTGTTCCAAAGAAATGTGCCACAGGTCAGCCAGCCACTCTGGGCCACAGGCCCCCAACACCAGCGCTGGCCGTTTACTGTGACAGTGTTTGCAGGGGTCTGAGGATGAGGGAAGAGACAAGGATCTGACTCCATGTTTCAGAAGGCTGATTTATTATTTTATGATATATATTACATTAAAACTATACTAAAAGAATAGAAGAAAAGATTTCATCAGAAGGCTGGCTAAGAATAGAAAAAGAAAGAATGATAACAAAGGCTTGTGTTTGGGACAGAGAGTCTGAGCCAGCTGACTGTGATTGGCCATTAATTAGAAACAACCACATGAGCCCAATCCCAGGTGCACCTGTTGCATTCCACAGCAGCAGATAACCATTGGTTACATTTTGTTCCTGAGGCCTCTCAGCTTCTCAGGAGGAAAAATCCTAAGGAAAGGATTTTTCACAAAAGATGTCTGTGACACTTTTCCCTGGCAAACCAAAGTCACCATTCCAGGTTCCTGATGGCAGATTGCAGGAGCCACTTGGCACTGTCAAACCAGCCTGAGTTGGCACTGGTGCCATCTTGGGTCTGGGAGGCATCCTGTGCAGTGTGGAATTTCAGGAACCAGCCGGCCCCTCCGGACCACAGGCCCCAACAGGTCAGGCCTTTTCCCCTGGAAACAAACCTCACCAACCCAGGTTCCTAATGTCAGTTTACAGGAGACACTTTGGAATTGTCAAACCAGCCTGAGTTTCCAGTGGTGGTGGCTTGGGGCTGGGAGGCATCCTGCGAAAGGCAGAATTACAGCAGGCAGCGGCCATTTTGGGCCTCAGGCCCCTGAATAACTGTTCAGGCCTTTTCCTTGGGAAACAAAACTCACCAGCCCATGTTCCTGCTGTCAGTTTGCAGGAGACACTTGGAACTGTCAAACCAGCCCAAGTTTCTGGTGGTGCCAGCTTGGGTCTGGGAGGCATCCTGTGCAATGTGGAATTTCAGGAGCCAGCCAGCCCCTCCGGCCCACAGGCCCCTGAAACCAATGCCAGCCCTTTTCCCTGGCAAACAAAACCCACAAGCCCAGGTTCCTGGTGGCAGATTGCAGGAGACACTGGGCACTGTCAAACCAGCCTGAGTTGGCACTGGTGCCAGCTTGGGTCTGGAAGGCATCCTGTGCAATGTGGAATTCCAGCAGGCAGCCGCTCTGAACACACCAGGAAAGTCATCCCAGTGACCCCCAGGGGCCTCATTGCATCTCTGAATCAAATACTTAAATTCATTTACAATAAATTAACTTATATTGTGCTTGCAGTGTGCAGAAACAGCTGTGAGCAAGGACTTGAGCCCCAGCAGCAGCATGCAGAGTTAGCCTCAAACCAGAGGAGTGACAGAAATAAATCAGAGCTGGGAAAAAAAACAAAGTGAAGAATTTACTGTGAATTTTTCTAAGCTTGGGCATAAAGCCTTGGTCCTGGAGCTTTCCTGAGAACGTGTCCTGGTGAGTGATGGGACATTGTGCAGAGCCTGTGTAGGTAAATGTCAGAAAGGTGCATGACAGGGCAGAGCCAGCACACTGCAAAAAATGATGAGCTTCCTCAAAAGCTTTCCTGATCCTCTCAGTTTGTAATCTAAACTCAAGAGGGAATGGTGATTTAGGGGCTGAATAGTGATTTTAGTTGTTTGCCTGTGAGGGATAAATAGATGTCACCCACAGGGACATCAGGGAGCAGGAGAGGGGCTGGAAGTGACCCTGGCAGAGGGGAGGGGAGGTGCCTTCCCCAGGTGTGAAAATGCTTGGGGGGGTTGTTTTTTTCCCAAAACCTGAATCAAATACTTAAATGAATTAATAAATAAACTCATATTCCCCAAGGTGAGCCAGTTCTGCCCATGGCAGCAGTTAACAAGTGACCTCATCCTTCTTTATCCCAACCCAGAGGAGAGTGATGGGGGGCTGGGGACAGACAGACAGACAGAGAGGCAGCTGGACAGGTCTGGCTGGATCAGAGGGAGAATGAGGATCTCACCTGGGTGCCTCAGGACCCTGCTGCCCCTGCAGTGAGCTGGACAGGGTGGTCCCATGACACATCAAGGCAGGAAGCCCATGAGGCTGTCAGTCCCTCACAGTGCTGGCTGAGGGGCATCTGGCTTCCTCCAGTGTCAAACACAATCCACAGGGTCATTATTTTTCTTGCTAATAATTAGTTTTTAGTCAAAGCTTTACTCCAGCTAATGAAAAGGTGAGCTGGGGGTCACCCACATCCCAGAACACAACAAGAAGTAGATGTTGGAGGAAGGATTCCTGCATGAATGGCTGCAGGACAGTGGAAAAGCTCTTGAGCAAAGCTGGGGGGCAGGAGACCATGAAGGACTCCCAAAGGGAACATCTACAGGGGGTGCCACAGGTGGGCTGCTCACCAGCAGGGTGGGGAACCAGGGAGGCTCAAGGTGCTGCTCTTCCCAGGGGCTGCAGCCAAGCAGCTGCTCCAGTGAGGAAGAGGAGGCTCCACAGGCTCTGAACTATCCTTGAAAGGACAGGGAGCACGGTGGGAAGGTCTCCTACCATGGCTTTGACCCCTCTACCAGTTCTCAGCATCTTCAGGTGCTGGATCTTCCCTTGGCTTGGTGTGAGGTGGCTCTGAGGTTCCTGCTCTTGGGCAAAGGGCTCTCCCCCTGTGGGACCAAAGGGTCAGGCTGAATTTATCACCAGAATTGTGGGGAGCAGAGTGTGAAAGTTTATGGCTTCATTTATGGCATCACTCTGGGCTCTGCTGCCAGGCTTTGCTCTTCCTGGGGACATCTCCAGGGCATGGAGATGCTCTGAGGAAAGGCTGACACAACTGCTCACCTGGACAAGAGAAGGCTCAGGAGAGACCTCAGAGCCCCTGCCAGGGCCTGAAGGGGCTCCAGGAGAGCTGGAGAGGGGCTGGGGACAAGGGATGGAGGGACAGGACACAGGGAATGGCTTCCCACTGCCAGAGGGCAGGGATGGATGGGATATTGGGAAAGAATTCCTCCCTGTGAGGGTGGGGAGGCCCTGGCACAGGGTGCCCACAGAAACTGTGGTTGCTCCATCCCTGGAAATGCCCAAGGCCAGGCTGGACAGGGATTAGAGCAACCTGGGGTAGTGGAATTGCCCCTGGAACATGGCCACAAGGTGTCCCTTTAACCCAACCCATTCTGTGACCCCCACAAGTGGCTGGGGGCCATGGGGTGCAGCTGTGAGCAGCACTGGCAGAAGGAACAGACCCAGAGTCTGCTCATGGGACTGTTCCATCACCCATTTCACCCTCAGCTCCCTTCTCCTGCCATCCTGCACAACCAAGGGCCCAGGGCTGTGCCTCTGCCCCTGTGAGTGTTCACCTACAGGCACGAGGTGAGGGAGCACTGAGCCATCCTCACAAAGCAGCCTCACAAGCAGAGGAGTGTGTGATGGCCAAGGAGCCTGCAGTTAACCCTGAGGTGCCACAATCCCAGCACTGCCAGGACAAGATTTTGCTGGGAACATTCCCAGCAAAGAGGGTCACAAATGCTCCTATGATCTGTGTGTGTGATCAGCTCACCCAGGTGTGCTGTTTTACCATGTCAGGGTGTCCTTCAGTGAGCAGAGGCTGCAGGGATGAATCCAAACCCTCTGAGCTGTTGGGAGCTTCCCTTCACCCTTCCCCAAGGGGCTCCCCTTGCCCATTCCCCCTGCACAAGCCCTGGGGTTCTGCCTTCCTCCCCCCACAGAAGAGTCTGTGCAAAGAACCAGCTTTATTCACACAGGCACATCAGACATCGAGGAAACACAAAACACACAGGGAGGCTCCACTTCCACACACACCATCACTATTAACAATATTTCAGAAAGAATAAATAAAAGTGCTGTTGCTATAGGAACCCACAAGGACGAAGCTTCTCCTCTGTTCAGCAGGCACAGCTGACCTTGCCCAGCTGCTCCTCCTCAGTTTGAGAAGTACTTCTCCAGCACCTTTGTTAAAAGCCCTGTCTCCTACAAAACAAGACACAAGAGTGAGACAGGGGTCCTGCACACAACCAGCACCATCACCACCCTGGGGCAGGGCACACAAACACCCCATGGCACCCTCAGGGGGGGCTTGGCATGGCCCATGAGAAGGACAGAGCCAGAAACTTCCCATCTGTGCTCCAACAGATGAACCACAGCTCAGGTGTTGAGGGAAACTTCATCCCAGTGAGGCAGCAGCCACTGGTTGAGCTCCAGGGCAGAGCCTCTGCCACTGACACATTCTCTGAAAAATCCCTTCACCAGGATTTCTCCTCCTGGGAGGCTGAGAAGCCTCAGAAAAGAAACATAAACAATAATTATCTGATTGCTTGGAATGTGCTCTGGAGGTTGCTCACCAACAGGTGCATCTTGGATTGGTTCCATGTGAATTGTTTTTACTTTGTGACTAATCCCAGTCCAGCTGTGTCAGGACTCTGGTCAGTCATGGGTTTTTATTATTTATTCTTGTTTTAGCCTTCTGATGTCTCCTTTCTCTTTCTTTAGTGTAGTTTTAGTATATCATTATAATATAATAAATATAATAGAATAAATATTATATTATATAATAAATATAATACAATATAACATTATATTATATATGGAATATGAAATAATATAATATAATATAATATAATATAATATAATATAATATAATATAATATAATATAATATAATATAATATAATATAATATAATATAATATAATATAATATAATATAATATAATATAATATAATATAATATAATATAATATACCTGCCTTCTAAGAACTTGGAGTCAATTCTCATCTCTGACCTCGTCCTGGGACCCACAACACCACAACAATTAATAACCACAAGCCTCATTCAGCAGAGAATGAGAGAAGGCAGAAAGAGGCAGAAAACACAGCAGGGAAGAGTCACAGAGGGGTTTGTGGGGTTGGCTCTGACCACAGGTCCTGTAGGGCAGAAGGGCTCTCCCCAGCCCTGGAGCTGCTCCATTCCATGGTTTCTGCATCCTGGGGAGTCAGTGCCATACACCCCAGGAGATGCCAGAGGATGGGAAGGATCCTCCTCTGCCAGCCCAATCTCTGTCACACAGAGCAATGAGGCTCTCTCAGCTTCTCAGGAGAAAAATCCTGGCAAAGGTATTTTCCAGAAAATACATCAGGGGAGCCCCAGCACGCTGAGAGCCAAACCCTGTCTGCACACATTGCTGGAAAGCTGAGATGGAACCAATAGGTTGAGATGGATCCTGAGCAGGGCATGGACAGGGAGTTTCCCAGGGCAGAGCCATGAAAAGGCTGTGAGGAATGAGGGAACACACAGAGGGGCTCAGGCTGGCTGCTGACACCTGGTGTCCAACAGCAGCCGTGCTGAGGGGAAAGCTGCCAGGCTGGCAGGGATTTGGACTGGCACTGTGACTGCCACAAGAGCAAGAATAGTTTTTCTAGGTCAGTCACACAGAATAGTACAACGTGGACAGCACTCAGAGGCAGCTCTGGAATACCCACAGCAGCCCAGATGTGAGGATGCCCTGGGGATGGGTGGGAGAAAGGAGCAGGAGGGCAGGAGTTGGGGAAGTGAAGTGCTCAGAGGTGCCCAAGGAGCAAAAGCAGAAACAGAACCCAGCAAGGTGACCAAGGGGACCAGGGCAAGTGACCAAGGAGAGGCCCCAGGCTTTGGGGAGAGAAAGTGAGGGGCAGGAGCCAGTTTCACATCAAGCAGCCCAGCTGTGATGGGCACACCAGCCCACCTTGCCCTAGAGAGGCAGCAGCACCTGCATGGGCACAGAGAAATCACCCAGCAGAGCAGGGCTGTGGCACCAGGGCCACACCTGGGCAGCACCCAGCCCTGAGCTCTGGGAATGGGCACTGCCAGGGCTGGCAGGACTCTGGCACCCAGCTGGAGCACTCTGGGCAGCCTCTGCACAGGCACATCTGCAACGTGAGCAGCTCTAGCAATCCACACCACGCTCAGAAACAAGGCAGGGCAGCACACCTGCCAGCTCTCCTGTCCTCTCAACAAGTGCCCTCCTGCTCAGAGGTTCCTTGGTGGGATGGGGAAGGGTCCAGAACCTGCTCAGCCCTCATCTCCTCTCCAGCTGCATCTGAGATGCCAACACTGCAGCCCCCAGCCCACTGCACAGGGAGTGGGGTGGGCTGGTGCCCTCTGCCATGCCCTGCTGTATCCTCACTGGAAAGCCCTCTGGGAACAGCTCTCTGGGATGCATCAGTTTACCCTCATCTGCTGGAAATGAGCCCAAAAGGGGCTTGAGCAGTCAGTGGCTCTCAGGCTCCCAGTCCTGCACCAGCTCTGCTCCACCTGTGCCCAAGAGGAGCAAGCCCTGCCTGGCCCTGCCCAGCAGAAACAGCTTTACCTGCATGCAGTGCTCCTCAGGCATCTGACTCAGGGGGACAGCACAGGTGGGACTGGCCCAAGAGGATTTTATCCTTTTTAGACTCCCAGTTACTTCCTGCAGTGACTGGAAAGGGTGAGACACCAGGGAGGTGTGCAGGAGGCAACAGACAAGCAGAGCCACACAGACTAATTCCATTTATGGATGCAGAAATTCCATCTCTGGACTGAGCAATTCGATCTCTGCATCCTGCCTGAGGATCTGTGCCTGTGCATTGCTCCCAGGGGCAGGTTTTCCACCAGGAGCTGAGTGAGCTCCAAGGTAAAAGCCACAGTGAGGGTCTGCTGATGCACAGTGGCACCAGAGGAGCTCCTGCCCTCTCCATGCTCCCCAGAACCCACTCTGCAGCAGCAGAAGCAATGCACAGTTACTCTCTGCAAGGCTTTGTGCCCTCAGCATCCAGGGATTCCAACCACAGGGACACAGAGCTAAAGCTCTTTGCTTCACAGATGCTTTTCCTCTCACATACGTGCACCCTCTTGGTCTCCTGCTGTGGAAAAGCAGGGAGAGAGGATTTCCCTGTCCTTGGAAAGGGGGACACCATCCTCTTCTGCATCTGGCTGAGGAAGACCCAGATGCTTATTAACAACCCCTGGACACCACTGCTGTCACAGCTCCATTGCAGAGTTACCTGCTCATCCTCACACCCTTCCCAGGCACCTGGGACTATTTGTCACTGCCCAGCTGGACACAAGCCTCAGGACACTTCTCCTCTCTCCCTTTATGGTTGGTCTTAAGAAGTGGCTTAAGGAGGGTTAAAAGAAGGGTTAAAAGGGAAGTGCACCTCTAGCAGCTGTGCAGGTGCTCCCCTCTCCAGCAGAGCTCCCCCAGCTCTCTGCTCTGAGCATCTCCCTCTAGCTAAGTAAATGCTCACCTGGCCAGTGAGGTCGTATTTCCCTTGGTTCTCATCCAGCAGCCTTTCTTGCAAGAGGATTTTCAGGAGCTCCCGGGTCAGCAGTTCCATCATGTCCTCCAGCAGGGCTCGGAGAGAGGGACCAAACACCACGGGCACTGCAGGCTCCTCGGCAGCCTCCAGGTGTGGGGAGCCCGTGACACTCTTCTTGCCCATGAAGTGACCTGCAACAGCACACACGGGGTGTCTGGGGGGACACGGGGCTCCAGCTGAGCTGGCACCAGCACAGGGAGCACCGAGCAACCTAATGCCCAAAGCAGCTGAGTGACGAGAAACCCAGAAAGCCCAGGTCCTCACTATCTCCACGTGGGATTTTTGGGAAACTTCCCTCTCTGTTCCCACTAACAAGATCTCTGGGGAAACTTCCCTCTCTGTTCCCGCTGACAGAGATGCCACCTAGGGATGCTGAACCTCACATCCAGGGATGCCGGACCGGTCACAGCCTGTTAGGGATGCCGGACCTGCTGCCCAGGGATGCAGCTGGAGGTGGCTTCACCCTTGCCCATCGCGGCACTGCCAGCATCCCCCTGCCGGTGGGAGCGGCTCCGCAAGGCAGCCCCAGGACAGGGCGGGATGGCACCGTGCCCGCACCTCCCGCGTGTCCCCGTGTCCCCGCCCGGTACCTGTGGCCCAGAGGTTGCCGCGGGGGTTGACCTTGATCTTGGCGGCCTGGCTGCGGTGCTCGGCGAAGTCGAGGTGCACGGCGGGCCCGAGCGCGGCCCCGCAGAGCAGCAGCAGCAGGCAGCGCAGCGCCATCGCCCCGGGCCCCGCGCCCGCCGCCGCGCGGTTATAGCGGCGGGGAGGGACAGCGACACGGGGAGGGACCCGGACACGGCCCGGCCTCCGGCTGGCTCCGCCTGGTTATAGCGGGACCGCCACAGCCCGGCCCCACGGCCCCACCCGTTACACCGGGGCCGCCCGGGCTGAGCCGCTCCAGTCCCGTCCGTGCCCGCCGTGTGCCGCCCCAGCGCCCGGGCCGAGCGGGAGATGTGACGGACCCACCGCTGAGTCCGGTCCCCGTCCCCACATCCATCCATGTCCATCTTCCACCTTCTCCCTTCTCCTTCTCTTCTTTTTGCACTGGAGCTCAGCCCTGAGCTCCATTCCCAGTTTAGCTCCAAGCCATCTCCCAGTACATGTGTGTAGTGGATATTTTTGTCCCCGATGAGAGGGAGAGAGTGATAAGATCTGATAAGATTCCATAAGATGGAATCTGATAAGATTCCATCTTATCAGAAGGCTAATTAATTACTTCATTATACTATATTATTCTATATTATATTACACTATGTTACATTACATCTAAACTGAGTCTGCCAAGCACTCAACTCTGCACACCCTGCACAGAATCTTGTGACTGTCCCCACACACACACACACACTTGGCTCTGAGAGGCCAAGGAAACAAAACCCCATCACTGTGGGTAAACAATCTCCATATTGCATTCTACTCTGACACAAACAGGCACAGCAAATGAGGTAAGAATTGTTTTTCCTTTCTCTGAGGTTCAGAGAATGTGAAACCCAGAAATATTCTTGGCAAGAATTGTGCCTTGCTTTTCTCTGTGAAATGTGGTGAAATGTGTGAAAATTGCCTGCACACCTGATAATAGGGATGGGTAATTGGGGATCCTGTCCTTAAGGACCTGCCAGCTCTGCCCAGCTCCTTCTCCTGCCAGAGCAGCCTCCCAGAGGATCCCACACGCTGCAGAGCACAGGAGCCAGAGCCTGTGTATCCCTTCTCACCTTTCCCGCTCCCTTTGAGATTTTACAGCCCACTCTTTCCTGATTACTGCACCCAAAGCTTCCATGGACAATCATGTTCTCCATGAGCTCCTCCTTTCCACTAAAGGGATGGAGCTGTGCCCAGCCATGCCAGGGGCCTGGGGCACAGACTGTGTGTGCCCAGGGCCCAAATGAACTGAATTCCAGGTGAAACTGGAAGCATTTGCTCAGAGGCTCCAAGGCACAGGTTGTGCTCTGTTTCTTCTTGTCCCTTGCCTGCAGCCAACGGGGATTGCTCCAGGCTCCATATTTACACAGGGATACTCTCAGCAGGCTGGGGTGAGTCTGGTGGGGGTTCCCAGGGTCAGACATAATCCTGGCAGGTCCATGGTGAGGAGGAGGAGGGTCTGGGGCCAGGTCAAGCCAGTCAGGCACTGCTGAGCTCCCACAGCACAGCTCAGTGACAGACTGCAGGCCCAGGGCTGAGCTCAGGTGGGTCCATGGGGAAGGAGGGCAGTCCCAGGTGCAGCCCATCAGTGTCCTAAAGGCCCTGACAGCTTCTGCTGGATTTACAGTTCCATAACTCTGCAAGGAGGTGCTGGTGGGGGGGGATGAGATTGCCCAGTTCTCTGGGAAATGGCAGAGGGAATTCATCAGCAATGCCATTCCCAGCACGTGCTGCTGCTCAGGAGAGCAGGGCTGGAGGTGACACATTCCCCTTCAGCAGCAGGGGCTCAGAGTTCCAACTGCAATCTCAGCTCTAAGCTTACAGGAAGGAAAAAAAACCCCAAAGTGTTCCTGTGTGGTGTTTGTGAGGTCCCCAGGTCGAGAGGAGAATTGGACTCCTTGTTCTCAGAAGGCTGATTTATTATTTTATAATATTATATTATATTAAAAGAATGCTATACTAAAACTATACTAAAGAAAGAGAAAGGATACATCAGAAGGCTTAACAAGAATGAATAATAAAAACCTGCGACTCCTCAGAGCCTCGGCATGGCTGGACCATGATTGGTCATTAAATTAAATCAATTCACATGGAACCAATCAAACATTCACCTGTTGGTAAACAATGTCCAAGCCACATTCCAAAGCAGCAATCACAGGAGCAGCAATCAGATAATTATTGTTTTCATTCCTCTCTGAGGCTTCTCAGCTTCCCAGGAGAAAATCCTGGGCAAAGAGGATTGTTCAGAAAGTATCATGGTGACATTCCTGTGTCACCAAGCATCTTCTCAAAGTGTGTGAGTGTCCCCTTGGGTGGCCAGATCAGCATGGGCTCCCTCCCTCACTGTTCCAGAGATGTGCCACGGGGATGGACAGGGCCTTCTCCTCCCTCACCCACCAGGTGTGACACCTCTGCCAGCCTTGTCCAGGTGTGCTGGAGCTCCTGCACTCCCAGGGGATTTCACTCTGCCCTCTCACCGTGCTCCTTCCCTGTGTTCAGCAGGAGAGGGGCTGAGCAGGCACTGCTGGACTTCCACAAGGAGGTGACCCTTTAGAGGAACAGGGGGACAGGAACACTGAGCTCAGCCCAGATGTGGCACTTGCAGCAGCTCAGCCCCAGCTCTCACACTCCCACCACAGCAGCCTCGTGTCCCTGCTGAGAGAGGACACCTGAGGCCCTGGTCAAGTGCTGGTGGCTGGCACCACTGCTTGGGCTCTGCTGTCCCCTCCCAGTGCTGCCCCTGGACACACAGAAACAGCCCTGTCCCTCCTCCATTCCCTCCTCCCCAGTGTCCTGCACTGCCATTGCACTTGTGAAAAATGCATGTACTTTATGATTGGCTTTTTGCAAATATTAAAATGAATATTATGTGTGTTATGTTAGAAAGTTATGCTGTATTAATTTTTTAAGTAGTTTTAGGTTATAACATAATGTTAAAATAGAAACTATGCTATGTAGGATACTTTTTTTTGTAAAGAAAGGACTTGCAGAGAGATAGCAGCCCCAGGACACCTGAATCCTTCAGAGAAAGAGAATTTATTGCTCCATTATCAGAAGAAATGAACTTCTTCCCACCTCGAAGGAGCTGTTAGGATTCAGAGGAAGAAGCTGACACTGCCCAGACAGAATCCTGTGTTTGAATGGAATTTATGCATCATGGATGAGGTGTATGAATATGCAACAGGCTGTTGCTTTTAAGGGTTAATCCTCTGTTAATGTGGGGCCTTTTTCGGGCTTATGCTGCCCAGAAAAGGTACCAGGACTGTCCCTAACTCTTTGTTCTTATTATTCTTATTATTTCTTATTATTCTTATTATTCTTATTATTCTTATTATTTCTTTTCTTATATTATTTCTATTTGTTCTTATTATTGTTATTATTATTATTGTTCTTATTGTCTCATATTGTCCTAATCCAAATTGTCCAAATTATTATTACTCCAATTATATTGTTACTTTTATAACCATTTTATTATTATTAAACTTTTAAAATTTTAAAGATAAGTGATTGGCGTTTTTCACAGCACTGACAAAACACAGCCTGACATGGATGGACACTACTCCGAGCCTTTTCTTCAAAACAGTTTTAAATTCACCTGTGGTGGCCAAAGTGATGGAAATTTGGGGTGTCTGGAGAGGGTGGGGGATATAGGAAGGGGAGGAGGAGGAGGATGAGGATGGGAGGTCCAGAGAAGGTGCTGAGTGTGAAGGAAGATCCTGGTGCTGCCCAGCCCTGGCACAGCTGAGTCTGGCTTCTCCTTCCCCTGGGGATGTTTTTTGGGAAGCTGAGCACAATCCTGCACTGTGGGGAACAGCAAGCTGAGGGGTTACCTGTAGGATTAGGGAGGATGAAGGCAGGGATAAAGTGATCCCAATTACAGAGGGCAGATGGAAGAGCCCTGGGCAATTATGGCAGCAACTGAAGCGTGACAGGGTAAATTCCACTCCTTCAGTGCTCCTCACAGGCAGCCCCAGGGACCAGGGATGAGCAGGGGGAAGCTGCAGGGTTTCAAACAGGATGGAGGCTTGTGCACTGCTCTAATTAATGCACAACCAAATGCAGCCAGATGTTCCCTCTTTTTCAGCTGGAGCAGAGGAACAGGTACTTTCCATCCCAGTGGCACTGCTAAGGAAGCTTGGGAAAGGCTGGGAAAAGGAAATCAGGGAGCTCCTGCCCTTTTTCAGGGTCACCATAAACCCTCAAAAACGGAGGGGATGTCAGATGGATTGCTGAGTACCAAGGCTTGAGCTCATGGTGTGTGTGGGGGGATTTCAAGTCTGCAAAGAGCAGCAGAAGAGCTCCTCAGAGACTGCAAGTGCTGGAGGCTGCAAGTGGGAGCACAATTCAGGGCAGCCAGGGGGGCTTGATTGGAAAACAGCTGCTGAGAGGGTTCAGCACTCACTGAGCAGCAGCAGCAGTGCTGGGATCCAGGCAGGAACAGCAATTCCTTCCTCCACAGTAGCCTTGGTAAATACCAGCCCCCGACACCAAGAGAGAAATCTGATTTCTTCTTGATTTTCCAGCCTTCACAAAGAAGTTGCTCCTAATTTTAGGGAAAATAACTGGCACCCAGGACCTGCTTGGGAAGGGCACCAGGACCTGAGCTCCAGAACTTGGTCACCATCAGCATGGTGGGGTTTGTGGTAGATTTTCTGCCTCCCACTTTGGTGAATCAGAGCAAGGAGCCTGCTGGGACTTCCAGCATTCCAGGCAGGAATTGTCACTGCAGGGCTTCTCTGCCACTTGCTGTGTCCAGCTCAGCAGAGATTCACCTTCCCAGCCTCCAAGGGAATCTTCCCAGCTTATATACAAAAAAAAAGCTGTAGAAATTCTACTTTATAAATCAGTGTTGCTGACAGTCAGCACACCGACTTTCCCAGGTGATGCAGGAGATGGGGCTGAGGTGAGTCCTTGGAAAATGGCAGCTGCCAATGGTTATATCCTGGGGCAGAGGAGGGTGTGCACAGAGATCCCCTCCCCTCTCTGGAGGATTTACCCTCTGGGGCTGGGGGAGAGCAGCCCTGCACAGCCCCACACCCTCCAGGAATGTCCCTTCCCACCCAAAACACCTCAAAGCTCCAGGAATCCTCAGCATCCCCAGATGCCTG